ATGCAAAATAAAGACCGTCTACAGTGAAATAAGAGTCATTTTTCATTGACGCGCCTGTAGTAAACGCTAACATAAATCGGAATACCTTAAGCGCGTCTTTACAGTATGTTTGTATAACGCTAGTGACGTCACGTCAAAATATATGCATGGCCGTGCAATACCATGTTTACGAAGTTGCAAAATCGGCACGGGTATGTGATAAAGCACCATATTTCATGGGTAAAATTAAATAAATACATATATAAACGAATTAATAAATACCCGTACATACCTGTGTGTAAGAAGATAAAAGAGAAATTGTAGTATCATTTTATCATTACATTTGACCTTTCCAGAAACGTCATCCTTGCAAGGAGTATGGTAATTCATATGCCCTGGATTACGCCGAGAAATTTTGTAATTTATATCAAGACCATTACGAAGAGTTTAACAACATTGGTCGAGAATGGATGGATGCTGTACGAAAATGCTTACAAGTCAAACTTGTACAGTTCCTTAGACCATTTGTTGTGGCAACATGTAAGATTATCAAACAAACGGCCTTTGATTCTCACTCTGGCTGCTATCTTCATCCGGATGTTGGAAAGCCATCTATCTGTGATATTGGCTGTGATAATTGGGCACGTATATTTTGGACTGTAAAGGGTGCACTAATTCAAGACGTGCCAGCTACAACAGCTACCATAAAACAAATGTGGGTTGTTTATGCGAAATGTGATTGTAGTATAGCACAACTTGGAACAGAGATAATAAAATTGATGTGCCGAAAAGAAAAGGAAATTGTCCCGAGGGATAACCAATTTGCCGAAGGTATTTCAGAGCAAATAGCAAGTCAGATGGATTGGGACAGAAGAGGCATAATATTTTTTGGGTTTCCAACTCTCACAAGTTATAATCGTTATAAACGTTCTGCTGAAAATGAGACTGACATTTTTTATATCAACCTTCTAATTGCTTCAAAATCTGAATTCGACCTTAACGCCAATAGTAGCCAAAAAGTTAATGTTTCAGCGGAGGCGACAAGTGTTGCTAAAGCCATTGAAAACGGCAATGTTCGCTTACAATTTCCAGAGGGGATAGATTTTAAAGAATTAAGTCTTTGTGTCGACTACAACTGTACTGAAACTTCACTACAAGTTAAACCGGCACCACCAGAGACATCAGAGAAGAAGAAGGATGGGGGTGGATTAAATGATACAGTGATAATCATCATTGTATGTTCAGTAACTTTCGGAATAATTCTGGTTGTTTCTGTAATTGTAATACTGCGAAAAGTTAACAAATGTTAAACCGCTTGCCAAAGTGTATTACGCGCTCCATTTATGTTCTTTGTGAAGCGTAAGTAATCAATGATATAACCAGCTTTTATACAATAGAAATATAACGTCTGTCCTAATTGTAATTTTTGTATTACGTATATTAATGTTACTTTGCACTATTTCTGAATTAGAAATAACTCGTCCATGTAGTAGGTGGTACAAAGACGTTTTCTTAAGAAAGCGTCTCATGCATAAAAGTGGCCGAATGATGGCAAATAAACCATGCAACTTTGTCGAAATCACTAGAAAATTCAATCTAATTTGCATAAAAATACTGCGTGCTACTGTGAAGATTATATATTATTTTTTAATTTAAAGCTGCATGCCTTCAGATGAGCCAAACTATTTCAAGACAATGAAACTAAGGGGGTTTGGACGGTAACTTGCTTTCCAGTACCGTCCATGAACAGACTCAATTAAACCGAGCCTGCAACATTTTACAATTTTGCCGTGTTGGGCCTTCTTTATGGATTCTGTTTTTCCAATTGAGAAATATGTACTTAGATTTCAAGAAAACAAAACAAATTGAGATTCACATTACGCATTTAGGGCGATTTCAGCATATTTTGACCTCTTTAAATTAAATTACGTGTGTTGTCAGGGTCTTGTGCAATGTGTGAATTACTTTCTGTCTACTTCACAATGTTTTCTGCATATAGGCATGTTTAAATGTTTATAGCTTTGTTTTGACTATAATCTTAGTTGAAAAAAGGCAGAATATGTGTATACCGTTATTAAATTATTCTTGATTTTGCGTATTGTATATGTATATTGAGTATAAACCCTATATTTGGAGACATTAAAGATAGTTTTTGAAAAGTACATATTCTTGAATATTTCCCGTACATAATGATGCATCTTTGTTAGACTTTCTACACGTGTTTTATGCAACTGAAATGAAAAAAAATATAATCAATTATAATTTATGCTATCGTACAGACTAGAATCAGGCCGATCAGAAACTATCCTGACAGCAGGCTTACACACGTTGACTAGAACCATGTCGAACTGTAAATGTGTAAACCACCGGTTGCCCATATGGGCGAGTCCTCCAGAAAGTGTTAGTCATTTTTGAGGATAGCGCAAGATACGGATACAGAAAGATGCCCCAGACTTCTCCTGGTTCTTTAGCGCGCCAAGTGTTTAAGCACTCTTGCACGGGAACTTGATTTAAAGTCTCATCCGAAAGACTGATTAGTAATTTTAGTTGACCTGCCCGGGAATCAAACCCACATAGTCGAGTTTACAGGTCTCGCGCTCTAACCGATTGAGCTATGCGGGCTGTCTTCGGACTGTGGGTCATAAAACTAACTGAAATTATTGATCATTTATCTTTGAAAAAATGCAATAGAGACAATCTTTAATAAACATCTATTTGTATAAGATTAAAAAACTAGAAATGTGTCGTCATGCCACGGATGCCCCCGCATGCAGCCAAAATTTCAGATGTTATAATATTTAGTTCCAAATTTGTTAGCACAAACTATTTTTTCATTTTAAGTTCAAAGCCCTTAAAACTATTCAATGTTAACACAAACCACAATTATACTAAGTTCAAGGCACTGAAACTATTCAGTGTTAACCTCTTTTAAATTGGATAGTGTATATTTGTAGCCAAAATAATGACTATTTACATTTACACAAAAGTATGAGTGGTGAAACTGAAATTTTAATAGATATAACTTTGCCCAAAATCATTGAACCACGACCAAATTCAAACTTTAACTGCTTATTCCTAGATGTATCTACTATTTGATTTCTTGAAAATTTGTGGTTTGTGTTAATATCTGGCGCCTGACAAGTAGCTTTTGTCATCTTAAAAACATGACAGCAGATTGTCTGGTCGTTTCACCTCGCTGACTGCTTAAGATGAGCGAGTTTTAAGATTCGGGAAGCATTTTAAGTAATCGTGGTTTTCGTCGGGAGAGAGGTTACCGTCAGTACAGTTTCGACTGTATATGTCAAATGTACAACCATTTGGGAGGTAATGAACGGAAACTAAAAAGTTGTTTTATTTTCAAAAGTTCAAGAGAGATAACTCTGTCAGATATCGTCAAACCATGAACAAATTCAAATTCTTATGACATATCCATATGTTAATACTCTGCCAAAATCATCGAACCATGACCAAATTTGAATTTGACCTGCGCATTCATATGTCAAATTTGAGATGAATGTGTAATACCGTTGGGACGATAATGAACGGAAACTGAAAATTTCTTATTATTTTCAAAGTGAAAGCGTCATAACTCTGCACCATGATCAAATTCGAACTTGACCTGCACATTCCTTTGGCATATCCATATGTCAAATGTAAGTTGATTGTGTAATTCCGTTGGTGAGATAATGAGCGAAAAGTGAAATTTTTTATATTATTTTCAAAGTGAAAGGGGCATAATTCTGCCAAAAATCATCGAACCATGACCAAATTCGAACAAAGGCCATCCTTTAACATTTAAGATCATCATTTTTTAGAATGGGCAGTTCTAAATCTGGTAAAGATCAAAAACATGCACTGTAAGGCAACAAACACATCATGAACCTTCAGGTCACATGTAATGACACTGGTCACATGTAATGGCACTGATATAAAGCACACATTTGTTAAGTATTTAGGTACAACTCTTGATCGAAATTTATCTTTTGAGGTCTTGACACAAAGCATTTTTCGGAAGGCAAATGCCAGGTTAAAGTTTCTTTTCAGAAAAAGGGATTACCTAACCCAACATACTAACAAATTATTGGCTATGTCCTTGATACAGTGTCATTTTGACTATACATTTTCAATCTTGTATCATGTATTAACACAGGTTTTGACAAATAATCTCAAAACAACACAGAACAAGTTAATGAGATTTTTACTTAATCTGAGCAATAGATCTCATATTGGTTCAGATCATTTCAAAATAATAAATTGGTTATGTGTTAAACACCGTGTGGAAGTCAAACTTGGCTTTTCCCCAGCCTCCTTGAGTGATATCTTTATTTCTCAAGATACTGTCCATGTTTATAACACACGGCTTTTTAAAAAGGGGACATATTCATTTCCTTAAGTTAAAAGGTTTGGATTAAAATCATTTTCGTACATAGGCTGTTCATTGTGGAACAATTTACCAGCCAGTTTTACTCACATTCAAATCTTTTAAACTTGCTGGGAAACAGTACTTTTAGATAAATTGAATTAAAACACATTTTATGAATACAATACTTATGATACTTTTTGGCATGAGTCAAACATGAAGATCTTCTTTAATAAAATAAAGCTTACATAACTTTTCAGATTAATATGTCTTAACTATTAGGTAGAGACTGAGATAAACTTTAATACTTATTAAAAACACAAATACTTAACTATCTGTGATATAAATGTTTTGTTTTGTTTATTCTTATAATATGAATAATCTAGTCTACTTTGGATTGTATATGATAATACAAACATAATACTCAGCATATGTGATATATTTATTGTGTTATACTATTTTTTGTGATATTTTCTGTGATATTTTACATCAAGTATTATCATTGCCTCTCTATGCCCTGCCACCAACAGTTAGGGACCGCAATGAAAATAAGGTTTAATTGGCATGTCATTGTATTTGTGGTCATGTTTATGTCATGTTATATCTCACTATATATGTGATATTACCATATATGCCAAAATAAATCTTATCTTAATCACTTTCACTCTTTCTTAACGTCATGTTAACATCGGTACAATATTCACTAAATAAACAAAGTTTAGTAGGGGTTCTTGAAATAAGGCTTTAACAACTTACTTCCTCGTTTTAATCTAAAATATAAACCCAACATTTAACAAAATCGAGTGTTTGACAATAACAAACATATCAAACATGGATTATATTCTTCACTTGATATTAGTTTTTATATTATTTGGATCAGCGCGCGGTGAGTGTAATAGATCAAATGGACCTTCAGGTTCAACTGAATGTGTCTTGTTATGGCCATACTACAACAAGTACCAATGGGCAACGTGTCTGACTGACACGTATATAAAAACATTCACAAAAGGGCGTAACAGATGCAGGGATACATCGGCGACGTACTGCTGGTATCAGTGTATGGTAGAGATGAATAATCTAGCTGAAGGTATAGCGAGTTAATTTGATTTTCTCCTTAACGAATTGAATTTCTTTTTGTTATTTGACATATTGTCAAATCTTAAATTTATGCTGATAGGTTTTTCATATTGCAAAATCTTGTCTTGATACGTCTTTCAATACAGCAAACGCTGATTTTTACGTCTAGTGAGTTATTTAATTGTCTGATTAAACAAAGTAAAATAAAACCCATATTCCGCCATCGATTTTGTTAAGAAGAAACATACAAATGTATGCATGTTCCTACTTAGATAAGAAAAACATTTAACACAATTTATGTTTGTTCCGACGTGAAAGTTGGACGATGTACTGGAAAATATAAACTTCACGCAGCAAACGTTATTTGATTAAAACAATATAAACATCAAATATAAATTATGTTTTTAAACTATGTTGTAATGTCAAAAAAAATTGTTTTCATGCTTGAAAAACAGCTGTAAAGTTTTAACTCAGACTGACAGACAGATATACAGACATATTACTTCATTTAGTTAAGCACATGTGTACAACATGCGGATTTTCCAATATAGGGAATAAAAACTTTAGTTCTTCCGTGGAAAACAAACTTTTACGTATACCTTAATTTCTACAATCTATTTCTTCTCTTTTTTCTTTTTTATACGCCCGAAAACGAATTGGCGTATAATGTTATGCGCATGGTCGTCCGTCCGTTTGTCTTTTAGCAGTTTTAATGGCCGGTCTGAATCTTTTGAACAGGTGGAAGGAAATTGAAACTACTTGGCAGAAATGTTAAATATAATGAGACAGTGTGCAGAGCGCAGGTTTGACTTTCCTCAGGTTAATGTCAATGTCATATTTAGTCATTTGGTGTAAATTTCAAAATTTCACGTCCGCTTTGTATCTTTTGAGCCGATACAAAGATCTTCAAACTTTTGCAGAAATTGTACTTGTCATGAGATGATATGCAGACACAGATTTGGGCTTCCTGGGGTTATAATTAGCCACTCCCCGAGCATCACTTGATTTATACAGACAGGCAAATGCATTTAAGTTTCATTGTGTGAAACTACAATGTCTATAGCTGAGATAGCATGTAGCATTACCTTATTGACCTTTGCAATTTGATAGGAATCATGTCCCTTGGTTCAATATTGGCTCCACTGTAGGGGTTATTTTATTTTATGTAGACTTACATAAGATTTTTATATAGGAAAAGCCCACATTTGAGACTAATTGTGTGAAACTATGATGCCGAGGGCTTAGATATTTGGCATGTAAGAATACTTTGTGGGCCACAAAATAGATGGTATTAATCATGCCCCTGGGGTAATATTGGCCCCGCCCCGAGTGTCACTTATTTAATATAGTTTGTATAGGAAAACACATTTAAAACTACAATGTCTAGAGTTTAGATATTTGACATGTAGCATTGCCTTGTTGGCTACTATAAAACTGGAATTCATAATGTCCTTTGGGTCGCTATCGCTCCCAACTCTGAGGTCTCTTAGTTAATATAGTATTGTATAGAAAAACACATTTCAGTCTTATTTTGTGAAACTACAATGTCAAGAGCTAAGTTATATAGCATGTAGCATTACCTTGTGAACTTCTGAAAAACTAATAATAATCATGCCCCTGGATTCAATATTGGCCCGCCCCGGGGACACTTGAATTGTGTAGATTTATATAGGAAAACACATTTAAGTCTATTGTTTGAAACTGCAAAGTCCAGAGCTCATAGATTTGGCATGTAGCATCAATTTGTAAATTTCTATGAAAGTTATATTAATCATGACCCTCAGGTCAAAACTGGCCCTGCCCCAGGAGTCACACGCATTATGTTCACCAAGATATTGGAAAACACATCTTATCTTTTTGTTGATAAATACTATGCCTCTTTATTTCGCATATCGCATTGCCTAGTAGACCTCTATAAAATTTTAATGAATCATGTCCTTAAGGTATTACCATCCTAATGCATTACCTCCTCTTTGAAGAGTATTCAAATAGGCTAGAACAACTGTAAACTACATTGAAAATGAGGGCCGTGGGTTCGATCCCCAGAAGGGTCAACTTTTTTTTTCTTTCTTTTTTTCTTTTAACATTATTTATGTATATGTCTCATGTCCCATTTGGAAAGAAAAAATTGTTTAATTTTGATTTTTTAATTTATATAGGTTTTTATTGGCTAAATTATGCTAAATCTAGTGATAAATATGGTACCTGATATTTTCAAAGTGTAATAAAATCAAAACTTGACGGTATAAGTATTTCATATTTTACAAGATCAACCAATATTCTTCTTTAAAAATGTAGGGAAACTTTGAAAACAGGCACTCGTTTGGGTAAATTTTAAGGATTTTTTAAATTAGGCTCCCTTAGTAGGAAAATGGTCAGACACGTTGTAAAAATGGGTGAGGTAGGGTAACATTTTTAGACAGATTTGATAAATTTTAAGTAGAAACCGTAATTTTGCTTATGTGGATTGTTAGCTGAATGGTACTATTTGTTTCTTACCAAAAATTAATGGGAAAACATTTTTCATTAGAATGTTATTGCAGATTATTTAAAGGTTCCTCATTTCTAAAAAAGGGCCCTCATAACATCCTAGCTTGAGTTCAAAAAAATGGCCATAACTTGATTTCCGTACGGTAAAATTTGTTTAAATTGTGCATACAGGTGTACTTTAAGGTATATATCTGACCTATGATGTCAATGTTTTAGTTCCTAATAGTGCCCATTAGGGTCGTAATACCTTAAGGGTAAAAATGCCTCCATCATATAGAATCATAAGGATAATTAAGAAAAAATATTTGTCAGACAAGTTTCTCGACTTGGTCTCTACCCTAATTGAAAGATTGTTTTGGTTACACAAACAAATGTACATTCGGGCTTATATTGTCATACCTCTGCTGTGCTCTTCGGTGCTTTTGTTGTTGTTGTTGTTGTTGTTTGTTTTGTATTGTTTTGTTGTTGTTTTTTGTGTGTGTTTATCCTCCTTGTATCGATTCATGCCCAATCGCTGTTTAATATGTGAAACGTAATACTGCATCACTAATCAAGAAGAGTTTGGCGGATAAATCAAACACTTCTTAAATTTTTAATTTTGGGCCATCCTTTATCATAAATATCAAAAGGCAGTCGGATAGTATACATGTACATGACCACGCCCACTTATTTCTATAAAAAAAATTTCACTAATAAAATATTTTTTCACTCAAAATGTTTTTAAAATATCGTATTTTCAATAAAACAACAAAGGAAAGTCGTTTATATATAAACTATATTTATAGTATATGCACCGACTGCCTGTGTTAATATCAGTACAAAAGAATTTATGGACCTACCAAGGTTATAGCACAAACACTAGGGTTATCTTTGTTTAAACAGATTTTTCGTGTAAAGATCGCAAATATGTTTGCGCAAGATGTTATATATTGATAAAGTCTAACAGGTTTTTTGTTTATTTTCAACTAATGAAAAAAAAATGACAGCCCCATATAGTTTCTATGTTCGTTTGATTGTTTGTTTAAATTTACGCCTTTACGAATAACTATAAATCGTTTTTGTCCCCCGCCTTTACGAAGAAAAAAGGGGGATATAGAAATAGGCTCTGTCCGTCTGTCCGTCCGTCCGTCACACTTTCGTGTCCGGTCCATAACTTCGTCATTTATCAAGGGAATCTGAAATAACTTGGCACAAATGTTTGTTATAATAAGACGATGTGTCATGCGCAATAATCAGATCCCTACCTCGAGAGTTAAGGTCGCACTTGCTCATTTATGTCGTATGGGTATATGTCGTGTCCGGTCCATAACTTTCTTATCTTTGAAGGGATTTTGTAAATACTTGCAAAAATTGTTCACAATAATGAGTCGATATGTCGTGCGCAACAATCGGTTACCTACCTCCAAGGTCAAGGTCACATTTGGAGGTCAAGGATTAACATAGTCTGTTAAAGAGTATATTTTGGGTCCGGTCCATAACTGTTTCATAGATCAAAGGATTTTGTAAATACTTGCCACAAATAGTCATTATGATAAGACGATGTGTCATACGCAACACCTGCATCCCTACCTCCAAGTTCAAGGTCACACTTAGAGGTCAAAAATTAACATTGTCTGTTTAGGGTATATTTTGTGTCCGATGTAGAACTTCTTCGGGATTTTGAAATAACTTGGCACAAATTGTCACAATAAAAAAGGATATGTCAAGTACAACACCTGCACCCTACCTCCAAAGTCAAGGTCACACTTGGAGGTCAAAGGTTAACAGAGTCTGTTATATGATATATCTTGTGTCCCGTACATAACTTCTTTATAGATCAAGGGAATTTGAATATACTTGGCACAAATAGTCACAATGATAAGATGATATGTCATGCGTAACACCTGTGTCCTTACCTCCAGAGTCAAGGTCACACTTAGAGGTCAAAGATTTACATAGTCTGTTATTGGGTATGTTTTGTGTCCAACCCATACTTTTTTTCATAGATCAAGGGATTTTAAAAATACTTTCCACAAATAATCACAATAATGAGATGATATGTCAGGCGCAAAACATTGGTCCCTACGTCCAAGGTCACACTTAGATGTCAAAGATTAACATAGTCTGTAATAGGGTATATTTTGTGTCCGATATATAACTTCTTCATAGTTCAAGGGATTTTGAAAATACTTAGCACAAATAGTTACAATAACAATAAAAAGACAATATGTCATGCACAACACCTGCACCCTACCTTCAAGGTTAAGGTCACACTTAGAGGTCAAAGCTTAACATGATAGATTTTTAAATTCCGTGTTTTTCATTTTATTTCTTTAATAAATTTATTGTTGCATTTGCAGATCTAGCATTGATCATAATTGATCATAATTTTGGACTGAAAGTCCTGAGATCCATACCTCAATTTTTTGAAATAGCACAATTTTATGCTTCGTATAAAACTTCCCCTAGGCTGGGGACGTTGGTTTAAACTCCTCGAAGCCTTTATAAGTACAATAACGCCGAAAAATTTAGGGGAGATCAATGCGTAAAGATTGTCAAATGACAGGCGCATTAATCTTCAAGCTTTCAATGGGAAAGAAAATATAGTTTCTAATTGGTCGAAAATTTCTAATATTGTGTAAGTCTTTACATATATACATGTTCATATTAAGCTCCATGATGATTTATATTAGTGTTAAACAACAGGTTAACCGTAAACAAAATATCTCGAAATTAATAAGGGTTCCAAACCCTAATTTAGAATGATGTGGTTTTCTTCAGGCTGTTATCTTATAATTTCCCCGCGCTTGAGGGGTTACACGCTCGATTAGGAAGCGAGAGGTCTGTAGTTCAAATCCCAGTTAAGGCAACTTTTTTTAAAATTGTTTAAGCCAAATAAACATTGTAATTAGCCTTATAGCCAATTTACTAAAGTTACAACACTGGAAACAGCATTGGTGGCACTATACAAAAACAAATTAGTTGATAATCTTACAACCTTCACCTTTCTGACATTCTGAGACCCAAACAAATTCAGCGCCATCTGTGCTTTGATTTTTTTATTAAAGTGTTTGTTGGTAGGCACGGCTGAAGTTAGAACAGCTAATCGGTATTATAGGAAAAACAAAACACATTGTTGTTAAAATTTAAACTTAATTGCTTTAAAACATCAAAAGGAAAATACGTGTAAAATACAATATACGTACAAACAAAATCTTTAACAACAAAAGATATTTTTAAACTTTTTTCTTAGTCATTAATGTATATTTAGTAATGAAGAAAAAGAAACTGCTTTGACCGATGTTGGTTTAAAAGCGATTGTTATTTTACTATTAGATAACGATACATGAATTATCTTTTCAGAAGTTCAAAAAGCAAAATTCTCACTAAAGCGTGACAGGGACGATTGTGTTGATAATTTAATAAGTGAGATTTTCCTAGAATATAAAGATATAATTTTACCTACGCTTTATAAATTGTTTAATTTTACGTATACAAATTGTGTTCATGCAGAGCCTTGAACAAAAGGTATCAATGTTCTCGTAGCCAAGAAATGAAAGGAAAAATGAAAGGAGCTTATCGAGAGAGTTGTAGCATAAAATATTTTTATTTTAACACACCCGAATACTCTTCGAATACTCTTCGTAAACCGGCTGTAGTTTTACCATTTAGCAACGATTCCGTAAATGTGCCACTCGCTCATAAGGAATAGCACCAACATATTTCTTTTAAAATATTTTTTTTTTTAATTCAACAAAAAATGTCAACTGCAGTCAGCAGAGATATAGCTTTATACTCTTTAACTTTAGTTGTTTTTTGTTTTTTTTTTCTTTTTTTCATAAGTATTTTTAATATAAGCACAATAAACTGTAATCTTGCTTTTAAATCGATCATAAATGAAATAATTTATGAAATAATAAAAATATATCATTATCGTGTGCATTTATTACATTTATCTTCGTAAAATTTTTGATGTTGTTTAAATAATCAGAGTATGGTTACATTAAATTAAAAACGACTCGTCTTCTAGGATTGTAAATATTTTAAAAATCCATAATGATGTTATGATGTATGAAAATGTTAAACATATTCAAGAGTCATTGGCTCCTTATAAATGTTAATGTAACACAGGCGTTAAACAGGGAGAGCCATTTTATCCTTTGTTATTTATATATTTCATATAATTCTAACCGAAAAGTTCTTTGTGTCTAAAATGTGAATTAGACCTTTAAATGTTTCCATATATGATGATAATAATAGTACATGTATTATTTTTGTTGGATAAATACTTAGATGTAACAATTTCCTCAAACGGTAACATTAATCAAGAACAAAAAACTTCCCGTTGCCACTAGAAATCAACTAATATACTTCGAAACTATATATAGATTACTTTTGAATCAATGCTTAAAGATCTACTAGAAATAATATAGAAATATCTTTGAAATATTTATTGATTTGAAGTTATATATTGGTCATTTTTGTAGCAGTTTAGATGCGCAAATCTTTATCCATTAACAGGTATAATGAAATATACACTTGACATGATTCGATGGAAGGGTGATAAATCAGTATTTGATGTATTAATGAATGAAGCATATACAGAATCTTCCAGTGAATTTTTATGAAGAATACATTAGCAAGAATTATTAAAATAAAAAGAAGATCCTTGCTTTATGAACTAACGTAAATATTATTCCAGTGTTCCACAGAAAGCCAAATCGTCTGATTTATTAGGTTGATTACCTGAGCTGCTACTTATTTTTAGCTTTAATTATTTAGGGCCAGTTTACGATAATTGTACTTGCGGAGCAGACGCTTCAAACAATGTTACAACACAACGACCGGTCGTGACGTCTCCCATTCCAAATTGGTGTTTTAGCCCGTCTGGTTCCGATTGCAGTTGGTACAAGGAATGTCTAGAGGTAAATGTACAGCGAATATTTGTTTGTTTCAGCTGATTGTGACTTTCTTTAAAACAATATGCAAAATATAGACATATTTGAAATAAATTTGTTATGAGGCATAGGAACTGAATAAACAAAAACCTTTTCATTTTAACGCATTGTTTTATCTTTTGCTTTTATTGTAATTCCAGTATGTAAAATGTAACACATCTTCTTTGCAAAAAATAATCTTGCGTTAGAAATATTCAGTTACTTATATATAAATGAATCAATAAATACGTGTACATACCTGTATGTAAGAAGATTAAAGAGAAGTTGTAGTATCATTGTCAATACATTTGACCTTTACAGAAACGTTATCCTTGCCAGGAGCATGGTAATTCATATGCCCTGGATTACGCCGAGAAATTTTGTAATTTATATCAAGACCATTACAAAGAGTTTAACAACATTGGACAAGAATGGATCGATGCTGTAAGAAAATGTCTACAAGTCAAACTTGTACCCATCCTTAGACCTTTTGTAATGGCAACATGTGAGAGCATCAGACAACAGGCATTCGAATCTCACTCTGGCTGCTATCTTCATCCGGATGTTGGAAAACCATCTATCTGTGAGATTGGCGGTGTTAATTGGGCTCGTATATTTTGGACTGTTAAGGGTGCGCTGATTCAAGACGCGACAGCAACCTTAAAACAGATGCTTGATGTTGTTGAAGCATGTGGTTCAGAAATACTTTCTACTGGAATGGAGAAGATACAGATGACATTCCGACAAACAACTGAAAATGTCCTGAGGGACTTGAACCAATTTGCCGAAGGTATTTCAGAGCAAATAGCAAGTCAGATGGATTGGTACAGAAGAGGCATAATCTTGTTTGGGTACCCAACTCTCACAAGTTACAATCGTAATAAACGTTCTGCTGACAATAAGACTGACCTTTTTTACATCAACCTCCTGATTGCTTCAAAATCTGAATTCGACCTTAACGCCAATAGTAGCCAGAAAGTTAATGTATCAGCGGAGGCGACAAGTGTTGCTAAAGCCATTGAAAACGGCGATGCTCGCTTACAAATTCCAGAGGGGACGGAGTTTACGGAATTTAGTCTTTGTGTCGACTACAGCTGTACCGAAACTTCTTTACAAGTAAAACCAGCACCGCCAGAGAAGAAGGATAGGGTAGGAGTAAATGCCATAATGATAATCATTATTGTATGTTCAGTAACTTTCGGAATAGCTCTTATAGTTTCGGTAGTTGTTATATTGCGTAAATTTAACAAGTGTTAAACCGCAAATTGCATACAAGTTCTGTGGTAAAGCACAAAGAATTCTTTTTTTTTTCTTTTTTGAATTATTACACCATTTATGTCCTTTGTATATATAGTTAATGCTTGTTCATTTAGCAGTAGAGTATATACAATGGGAATATGACATCTGTCCTGAGTGTATGTGTAAAAGACGGTAACGAGGCTCCTTATCTTGTTTAACGTAGAATAGTTATATTTTGCACAATTTTCTGAATGTAAAATACAAATAAAAACAATTCATCCATATAGGTGGTGAAATGACGTTTATCTAACAAGTGTCTCATGCATAAAAGTGGCCCAGTGACGATAAATAAACAACGCAACTTTGTTGAAATCACTAGAAAATTCAATCAGATTGTGTGCAACTGTGAAGATAGTATTTTGTGCTACTGTGAAGATAGTTTTTTAATTTAAAGCCACATGCTTTTAGATGAGCTAAAATATTTCAAGAAAATCAAACTTGAGAAACATGGACTTAGATTTTAAGAAAGGTAAAGAGATCCAAGATTCAAATAAGGCAGTTAGGGCTTTTTTAGCATATTCTGGCCGCTTTTTGTTTAATTACGTGGGTTGTGAATGTTTTTTGAAATGTGTGAATTACTATCTGTTCACGTCACAATATTTAACCTTTATAATATAAATTTTCAAAATTTTCATGAAATTTAGCATAAATGTGGAAGCATGCTGCTTTAAACAATTTTAGGCATGCGTATGTATTTTCGCAAAGACATGTTTCCAGCACAAAGGCATTTTTCAAATGTTTATAAGTAATGTTTATAAGCTGTTGTTCGTCTATAATCTTAGTTGAAAAAAGACAGAAAATGCGTATACAGTTAGTTTAAATTCTACTGAATTTTGCCTATTTTATATTATGCATGTATTATTAACAAACAGTATCTTTTGAGACAGAAAAGATAGCTTCCGAAAAATATTTCTGGTTCATAATGATGCTTCTGTGTTAGACATTTTACAAACATTGTTGGTGTTTTTGTGGTGTTTTATTTTTAGAAAATATAGCAGATTGTTCATTACCTTTTACGTGGCATCGTGTACCATTTAATTTCAATGTCATGAACATTTGAACTGATGCAGAGCCTATACAATTTTAGCCAATGGTGAAGTTCTGTTCGAGAATAATATTGAAATCAAATATATTTTCATTTGCTTATGTGTATGTGTTTGAACAAAGTGACCAATAAAGGCTGATATTCTATATTGCGTTTTTTTATTTTGGCTCATATTTCGAGATTCTCATTCGGTAAAATAAATATACCCTGTTGTAAGGTTGCCATTTTGTTGATATGTATGGCTTTATGCTAGTAGATTGCTGGTTTTCGGCAGAGTTTTTCTCAGTTTAATTAAGGCAAAACAAAACAAAATAGAATGAACATGTTATTTAATAGTAATGACTTGTAATGGGAAAACAATGCATAATAGAGTAACAAACAAAATATACAACAAATGTACGTATCAAATGCAATTGTTATACTTACTTTATAAAAGTACATATTGCATCAATCATGCATTTATGCAACTGAAATAAGAAAAAAAATTAATCTATTTCAATTTATGCTATCGTACAGACTAGAATCAGTCCGATCAGAAACTATCCGGACAGCAAGCTAACACCCGTTGACTAGTACCATGTGGAACTGTAAATGTGTAAACCACCGGTTGCCCATATGCCTCAAGAAAGTGTTAGTCATTTTTGAGGATAGTGCAAGATACGGATACAGAAAGATGCCCCAGAAGCTTCTCCTGGTTCTTTAGCGTGCCAAGGTTTTAAGTACTCATACACACGGGAACTCGATTTTAAGTCTCATCCGAAAGACTGATTAGTAATTTTAGTTGACCAGCCCGGGAATCTATCTCACAATGTCGAGATTACAGGTCTCGCGCTCTAACCAAAAGAGCTATGCGGGCTGACTCCGGACTTTTGGCTACAAAACTATCCCATTCATAAATGTAAAGTTAATTGAAATATTTGATAATTTATCTTTGAAAAAATGCAAAAGAGACGACATTTAATAAACTTCTATTAGTATAAGATTTAAAAAAAAACTAGAAATGTGTCGTCATGCCACGGATGCCCCCGCATGCAGCCAAAATTTCAGATGTTATAATATTTAGTTCCAAATATGTTTGCACAAACTATTTTTTTCATTTTTAGTTCAAAGCCCTTAAAACTATTAAATGTTAACACAAAACTTTATTATACAAAGTTCAAGGCACTGAAACTATTCAGTGTTAACCTTTTGTTAATTGCATATTTGTAGCCAAAATAATGACTACATATACTTCCACAAAAGAGTGCTGAAACTGAAAATTAAAAAAAAATCCAACATTCAAGATAAATAGATAACTTTGTCCAAAATCATTGAACCACGACCAAATTCAAACTTGAAGTGCTTATTCCTAAGATGACATGTATTTTGATATGATATATCCATATGTCAAATTTGAGTTGAATGTGTACAATCATTGGGTAGATAATGAACGGAAACTAAAAATTTCTGATTTTTTCAAAGTTCAAGAGGGATAACTCTGTCAGCTATCATCAAAACATGAACAACTTCGAACTTGACCTGTGTATTCTTTTGACATATGCATATGTTAAATTTGAGTTTAATATGTACAACTGTTGGGGAGATAATGAATCGAAATTAAAAATTTCTGATTTCTTTTTTCAAAGTTCAAGAGGAATAACTCTGTCAGCTATCATCAAACCATTAACAAATTCGAACTTGAACAGTGTTTTTATATGACATATCCATATGTTAAATTTGAGTTGAATATGTACAACCTTTTGGGTGATAATGAATGGAAACTGAAAATTTCCTTTTTTCAAAGTTATAAGGGCATTACTCTGCCAAAAATCATCGAAACAAGACCAAATTTGAACTTGACCTGCGCATTCCTTTGACATTTCCATATGAAATTAGAGTTGAATGTGTAATTCCGCTGGGGAGATTATGAGCGGAAACTGAAAACTTCATATTATTTTCAATGTGAAAGGGGCACAACTCTGCCAAAAATCATCCAACCATGACCAAATTCAAACTTGACCTGTATTTTGATATGATATATCCATATGTCAAATTTGAGTTTTACAAACGTTACTAAGATAATGAACGGAAAATGATGATGACAGAATGACGAAAGGATAGAAGGACGGAATAACGGAACAGAGTAACACTTCATGCCCGGCCATTTTATGTCGGTGCATAAAAAACATGCTGATGATGGTGATGATGATGATGATGATGAGCTTTACTGGTGGAGGAAGATTTCAGGTCGCTTCCGTGCATTATTTCAGGCACGAATGGGCACCTGAGTAGAACCACCGACGTTCCGTAAGCTAGCTGGATAGCTTCCTCACATGAAAGAATTCAAAGTCCTTGTCGGGATTCGAACCCACAGTGATGGGGGGCAAGTGGTTTTATTGTTGGGCTTTCTTTAGAGATTCTGTTTTTCTCTAATTTATGGGCACATCAGTGTTATCTGTGCAGTGTGGCGGCCCTAAAAAGTCTCTCCGTACATTTAATCAAAGATGTTATAATTTCGATCCTTGAAGATCGTTCAGCACGACATAATTGTTGTGAATACATTTTCTGTGGTATTTTTAGTTTCTTCTATTTGACTTTTTTCAACTTGGGTGGTTCCAGTATTCCTATTTGAACACTTCTAATCACCCTTAGGATATATTTCCTGCTTTTTAAATTGTCTTTTAACGTCTTATCTGTGATATGCAGGCTTCATAACCTCAGATCGATCCCCTTTCAAAATAACATTTTATTTAGTTACGCCCATTGTTTTCTCTTTTGTTGAGGGCTCACGCATTTTTTAATTGGGGACCATACGCCGCTTTTCATGGAATGACATAAAAGTGTCACATTGAAGGTTCCATGATAAAAACCGTATGAACACATCTGCGGATGTTTCTAAATTCAAAATTTCACCATTTTCTTGTTTAAATGTTGAATTCTGCTTAAGCCGGTGCTAGGGGGCGTGGACTGTAACTTGCACTTTCCATTACCGTCCATGAACAGGCTCAATCAAACCGAGCCTGCCACATTTTCAATTTTGCCATGTTGTATGGTGGCTGATTTGTGCCATTCGTGTTTTTGCCCCGCGACCCTGCCGAACGAAAAGTCGAAAATTAATAAGTTAAAATTGCGGGGGATCGGAGCGAAAACGGGCTCATTAGCGAGGGCGCTGGGCGAAGTTTAATAAATAAAACTTCGCCTTGCGCACCCGCTAATTAGCGTGTTTTCGTCCCGCGACCCCGCCAAATGAAAAGTCGACAATTAACAAGTTAAAATGGCGGGGGCGCGGTTCAACGTGTTTTCGCTCCGCTCCCACGCCGTTCTATTTCTTAAATCTCGTCCCGCGCTCCCGCTTATTAGTGTGTTTTCGTCCCGCAACCCCGCCGTTTTAACTTGTTAATCCTCGACTGTTCGCTTGGCGGGGTTCCCAGGGCGAAAACACGAATGGCACAAATCAGGGATTCTGTTTTTCTCTATTTTGAGTCAACGACCTTAACCATTCGACCACGGACGCCCCAATTTACTGGATCTGGTGAATCGTAATGATCATAAATACATTAAAATAAAATTTCAATAAAATGTGCAAAAATCGGAGAGATTCATGTAAAGATAGTTGATTTGTGAAATTTTACTTGACCCCTTAAACACGAAGGGCAACGTGCTTTATATGCATTTAGGCGTTTCACAATGTATACTCCAATTACACACATACGTACGTAAGAACGTAGGCACTTAAATCCCCGCCCATTAAACCCACAGACATGTGGAAAAAAATACAGTTATAATTTTATAATGTATGTTAACCAAAAAATTGCAGTTTTATCACTACAACTTATGATGTCATTAATTAAAGGTTAATATTTGGTTCATGTCCGCTATTGTGTGGACTGTCTCGGGTCTGCAATGCAATACGGCGTTTAGACAAATATTCTGAAATCATTTAGAAATGACATTAGAATACCCCAAATTTTGTTACTACATAAGATATACAGTAACATAGGTATTAAATACATAGTTATTAAAGCAACATTTAATAAATTTCATAAAAACAGAAATAGCGACATTACATGAATAAATTGGGTTTTATATCGACTCAAGATTTTATTTGGTGTCCAGACAACCAAAATGAGTTTTATAAGCATAACAAATGGACAACTTCATTGTGGCGAAATCGAAAGTACAATTTCTGTTTGCATGAGAAACTCCGCCTTCGGATAATCCGTACATCAATATTAAATCAACAAACATGACTATAAGTAGCAGTACTAATTTAACGGTATATTTCCGCATTGTAACGGATGTTTTGATACAAATTTAATCTTTTTTATGAGATGATTATTTTTTCTAAACCCCAGGTCTAGTGCACCGTGAAGTTTAAACGGTTAAAATGTGTTTGCACAAGAATATCTCATATTTGCTGTGTTTCGGATAGCAACTATAACACTGTGACGTAGTGCAAACACAAGGTGATTATAGTCTTCATTTGCAAGTTAAAATTCGTATACGAAACTTTAGTGATACCGTGGGGTTTTCCGTTTAAAATCCTTTTTTATGAACAATATTTGACGAGATTTACAGCAATACTGTTAAAAAGGTTAATGGAACTGTAGAATGCTTGGTTTTTAGGCTGACGGCAAACTATTTTTACATATTTATTTAATGTAGCTTTTAGTGCTCTGTCAAGACGATTTAATTAAGTAGCGGCGTGAGCAAGTGCTAAAACGCGTCGGACTAGTAATCTAAGAAGGTGGTGGTTTTCACTCCGGATCACGACAGTAAAACACATTGAATTTACCAGAGCACAGTTAAGTCACCGCATCGTTCCTGGGCAGGCTGTCAATCAGTTTACAAGTTTTAGTTTCCTTCACTTTCGCAAGGAACTGAAACTTCTGTACATACCGGAGCAGAGGTACAATGCGAATGACCATAGAAAATATTTCATGATCAATTAAAACAAAAATGACCTGCGCCGTCCGGGAATCGGATTCGGGTCATCCGATTCATATTTCAAAGCTCTACCTATTGGGCTAACCGGACGTCTAGTAATCTTAGGATTGCTGGTCGCGTGGTTTCATTCGAAATCCTGTGAGGGGAAATTTGTTGTTTCCTTGAACAAGAAACTTGACGCTTATTGTGTAGTACTGGTTGGTTCTAACTTCCAGGAACTGATTCAAAAGTGTGTGTCTATAAGCTTATAGCTTCCATCGAAATGAGGACTGATTCGATTCCTGTTGTAATTTAGAGTAATACTCGTACTTATCGCGATGAATTTTTTACTGCAATTTATATTCAAATGTTCCAAACCAAGTTATTGTACAAAGTATCTCGACTTGTAAAGTTCAATTAATGGAAAGGTTTTAGCTTTTTTCAACTTTAAGAATGGTAATGCACAAAGAAAAATCCGCTTATTTCATTCACGTAAGAAACATTAAATAAAGATTTCTGGGGGGAAAAAGACGGCTAACATGTTATATTTCGTGCCTCATTCGACTTCTAAGATAGTGTTGATGTTTAAAAGTTGAAGTGGAATCCAGAATTAAGCCTCAAAAGTGACTGATTCCGAAGTTTGACGGAAAGGCCGAGAAGATGCGATAGATTCGTGCTTAGGATGACGGCATTCCGCCGTTTAGAACGAAATTGAAAAATGTACGCAACTTTTAGAAAATACTGTTAGGTGCAATGACATTTAATTCACGGAAATTTTATCTATTGAATATGGTAAAATATAAATGAAAAAAATATCATTACTGTAGATACGGTTCGATCGAAATATCTCAGGTTCTTTTCACAGCACATGACACATATTAATTTAATTAATTTAGTCTTACAATGGCTGCCGTTGCAGGTTGGAATATCTGACTCCAGGGAAACTTATACACAGCGGTAACGAGCCACTGTCAATACAAGAATGCTGTAATGCAAAATGATATTATATGGTCGTATTATTATATATGTTTAATTCTGTGGAAAAAATGTAGCATTTCAACATAATATTTACAAAACACTACTACTAGTATATCAACAGCATATGAAAATATGTTTACTTCTGTGAAATGTACATTTTTTTTAATTTAGCAAATATCACAATGTAATTTAAACTTGTAAAATATATTTGTAGAACTATAACATACAAAGAATTTATGCTTAATTGGTAAATATTTCAACAAAATAAAGTAGTAGGTTTAACAGGTTTCATTACTTAAACATTAAACGATAAGACTTTGTCATAATTATAATTGTTATTAAGGTATCAAGTAACAAAGTTTTATATTCCACTGTGGAAAAACATTGCATAAATATTTGCCAATTTTATCATTGCAAGACAAAACTATTTTGATTAATTAGTGAATTATCTGTTTGTACAATCAATATAAGTGTATCAATGTATATATAAAGATGCGAATGAATAAAGACATGGATTATTTCTTTCAATTTATATTAATTGCAATGTTAATTGGACTAGCTCGCGGTGCATGTAGTAAATGGACTGGACCTTCCTGTTCAACTGAATGTGTCTTGTTAGAGCCCTACTACAACAAGTACCAATGGGCAAAGTGTCTGACTGACACATACATAAAGACATTCTCAAAGGGAGATCACCAATGCAGGGATTCAACAGCGACATACTGCTGGTAGAGGTGCATGATCTAGATCAAGGTGAAACATTATATATTGTATCTCTATTTTCTCTATGAAAAAGGAATAATTCAATATTAAAGCACATGTACAAGCAACATGAAACTATAATCATTGTTTTTCAACGAATTTTGATAGAAAAAAATGGGTTCGGTATTCATTCAATTATAACAATTTAATGCATTAATTTAAAATGTTAGGGACTCATTCGCACCTCAATTCTTCCAGATATATTGTCATAGATGGATGTTAAATGTTATATAATATGACCATAATAAAACAAATACATTATAGGAAACTTTAGAGCGAAATTCTACAACATGTAATATTTGAGAAAGAATTTATCATTTAATGCTTATTTTCTTGAAACTTTTAAAAATGAATTTAAAAGTAAAATATTGTGAAGTGAACAAAGAAAGAAATTCACAAGTTTGCAAACGGCACTTACATTTAATCCGCGTAAATCACAGAAAGGTCAATCTATGCAAAAAATAGCCCTTATTGCGTTTGGCACGTTGTAGAAAAATGGTGATGAATTTTGCAAAACCAGTCATAAATTGCACATAGCATGTAAAGTTTTTATTGAATCTTTTTACTTTTCTAAATATCGGTGATAATAATGATAATGTGACCTTATCAATATCTAAGTACATTTTTCACAAGTTTAATTTTCTTGAATTATTTTGGCTCATCTTAAGGCATGCAGGTTTAACATGGAATTAATGAATATTATGTTGCAAACAGTCTAAAATCAACAAGGTATGAGCTTAGATCATTGATTGTATTAGTAGAAGTAAGAAGTAAAAAGTAGTAGCATTAACAGCAGCAGCAGTACTAGTAGTGGTGCTAGTAAGTAGTAGCAGTAGTAGTAGTCATATTAGATGTAGCAGTAGCAGCAGCAGCAGCACTAGTAGTAATGGTAGTAAGTAGTAGCAGTAGTAGTAATAAAAGTAGTAGTGGTTATGTTTTTGTTTGTGGTGGTTGTATTGGTAGTGGTAGTAGAGGTAGTGTAGCAGCAGAAGAAGAAGCAGTCGTAGTGGTGGTGGGTTGATGGTGGTAGTAGTGGTGGTGGTGGTAGTAGTAGTAGTAGTAGTGGTGGTGGTGGTGGTAGTAGTAGAAGTAGTAGTACTAGTAATAGTAAGTAGTAGCAGTAGCACAAGTCGTAGTTGTAGTAGCAAAAGCAACAGATCAACTACTATTACATCTTAATTAATACAAACTTGCTGAATAAAAATTTAAAGGGCAGATCTGACTGCTTGATAAAGGTTATTGTAAAATGTCTTTATATAAGAACGGAATGTGTGTGCTTTATATCAACTACTGTTTTCATGTACAAAGGGCCAGTTCATGATAACTGTGCATGCGGATCATATGCTCGGAGAAATGTAACGTCACCACAGACCGTCGTCAGCATCCCAAATTGGTGCTGCAGTCCGTCTGGTGCAGATTGCAGATGGTACAAGGAATGTCTTGAGGTAAATATACATGTAGTGGGAGCTACGTATTAGTTAAAAATGCAATATTTGACTACTACAAGCTACCAACATCACTTATAACACTCAGAAAAAGTTAGGTTAAGTAGCATATCCAATCTTTCCATATAATCAAATAATAATAATCACCTAGCATATTATCTCTTTTATACAAACGTACGAGTATATGTTTTGAATTCAATGTAAAATGTTTGTAAAGTATTGAATATACCGTTATATCAATGTAAATGAACATGAAGTCACAATCATTAGCAGGGTAAGCAGACAATTTTTGGACATGTCAACTTAGCGTGTATAGCGGCGTTTGATGCAAACTTTCATCTGGACCGCTGTCCAAGAAGGGTGGGCGGAAATGTCTCTCCCAAGATTTATTGGCCCTGGATATGGGTACAAAACCACCACCGGAAATTTGTACGGCGGAGGGGTGTCCATTCACTATGATCCATAACATCTTCCAGTGAGAATTCCAAGGGAGAATTCCGTGGTGCTAGCATACCAGTGAGTACTCGACTTATGTCTATTATGCGCTGAAGGAGCTATTGAGGGACTTTGTTGTGTGTGCCTTAGGAGAAATTGGCATTGACTTTTCATTATCGCCCGATTCTTGGAATCGACAGGAGGAGGTCTTTACGGATCTACCAAGGTGAGTTATGACTTGTCGGCCTATAGTCCTTCATGTGAGAGGACGCACTCATGAAGATGGTGGGGGTATAACATAGAACCTTTCAGATCTTGAAAGGAAATGTCTCCCCAATGCAGAAAACACGCTGGAATTGTTTTACAGGGACCGTGAAGAAGGTTATGAGTTGGTTTATACATAATTTATTTTAGTTCGATTGTGAATGAAGCTATTAGCTTATAAACACACTTTCGAATCTGTTCCTGGAACCAACCAGTACTGAGCAATAATTGTAATAATTGTAAAGTTTCTTGTTCAAGGAAACAACGACTTGCCCCTGTCAGGGTTTGAACCCATGTGGCTAGGAGTCATTAGATTACTAGACTAGTTAAGTCGGTTAACACTTTGGACTACTAGTCCAAAGTGTTAACCAGTCGGTCATGCGGCCACATTATGAGTTGGAGCAGCACTTTCCAGTATTGTTACTTTGGGATCACCAACCAGGTTGCTCGATTAAACCGGTACCAGCAAGTAGCTCTCCGACCCATTCCTTTCAATCGGCTTTTGGTAGAGACTAGAGATGATTCGCCATGCTTTGAGCCAGTTGGAGCTTAGATGGTCCATCTTGCACCAGCAATTTAAATGTCTAGTTAATTTTATTATTGTCAAAAATGTTCCAAGATGTGCAATATACCAGATACATTGATAATATGGTTACCAGATGTCATGGGGTTCATATGTTACATGAAATCTAGGCGTTTAGCGCAATGTCCTTTTTAAGATGGGGAGAAATGTGGTAATAATCTGGTACGACCAATACTGGGTACGAACTACAGGGCCGATATCCGGGATTGAGGTATGCGCAGAGAGTCAGACCCTGTTACCTTCTCGAAACAACAAAACCTATATTTGTTCAATCCGATAATTATCTGGTGCCATCTAGCTCTTTGAAGCAGTTGTGAACCTAGATAGATTCAACTGTGGAAGATTACAGAAGCCACTTTGTTTACATTTTACTCAGTTAGTTTACAACAAACATAATATTGTCATAAAATACTAGGAATATCATAAAGAAAGACAACTCTACCAAACACAAAAATCAAGTAGTTTGCCATGTTTGTTCAGAACAGCTCCATAAATATTTTCGTGTTGATTCAGGGCAGCTTCATGGGCTCGGAGACTTGATCGAAAAGGAATCTGCAGAAGCGTGCTCGGTAAACTAAGCATGCGCAAACGAGATTGAATGACTTGTTAGAAGGAAGAGCCAGATATACAGGTAATTGCAAAAAAACTGTGATGTATTGCATAAAAATAAATAGTTTATGTTTAAGCGATTAAACTGACTAATATGTTTAATTTTGTGAACAAAATGTAGTATTTCAACATAATATTTACAAAACACTCCTATATCAATAAGATATGGAAATAGGTTTACTTGTGTGAAATGTTTAACAAATATCCTTGTAAAATATATCTGTAGAACTAAAAAGATTACATGCTCGGTAAATATTTAAAGAAATCACAGTAGAATCAAATTTCATTACTTAAACATTATACAAATTGATTTTGACATTATGATAACTGTTATTAAGCTATCAAGTAAAAACGGTTTTTGTGCCACTGTACGAACGGCATAATACCACCTTTATTAATTTATGAATTCTCTGTAAGTACAATCAATATAAGTGTATTAATGTGTAATGAATAAAGACATGGATTATTTCATTCAATTTATATTAATTGCAATGTTAATGGGACTAGCCCGCGGTGCATGTAATAAATGGACTGGACCTTCCTGTTCAACTGAATGTGTCTTGTTAGAGCCCTACTACAACAAGTACCAATGGGCAACGTGTCTGACTGACACATACATAAAGACATTCTCAAAGGGTGATCACCATTGCAGGGATTCAACAGCGACATACTGCTGGTATCAGTGTATGGTAGAGGTGCATGATCTAGATCAAGGTGAAACATTATATATTCTATTTCTATTTTCTCTATGAAAAAGGAATATTTCAACGAATTTTGATAGATAAAATGGGTTCGGTATTCATTCAATTGTAACAATTTAATGCATTCATTTGAAATGTTAGGGATTCATTCGCACGTCAATTCCTTCAGATATCTTGTCATAGAGGGATGTAAAACGTTATAGAACAGAACAGAACATATATTTATTCAGACTTGTACATAGTACATCATCTTCAACATATATATATAACAACTAAATATTCTGCACATGATTAAAGCGTTTCGAAGCAATAGAATTTTTGTTTTCATATAAACATATCTACAAATAACAGGAGAGTGAAAGTATATTACAATACAACTTATCATATTTAATAAATATGATATGACCATATAATAATAAAACAACAACATTATAGGACACTTTAGAGAGTAATTCTACAACAATATTTAAGAAAGAATTTAATCATTTAAAAATGATTTACCATTATGCAGTAGTTTTCTTTAAATTTATCATTTTTCTACGTGTTTGAAGTTTTTTTTTAATTACATGTTAGAAGATCTATTGAGACATCAAAATACTTTATACATGTATACATTTATTTTCAAACCAGCAAGGTAATTTGTGTTAATATGCTTTTGCAAAGTATACAATGATAAGTATAGCATTGATTGTACTCTCCGGTAAAATCAATATTCACAATCGATATCGATACTTAGGCCGATTATGCGCAGCATTTTGTGCGGAACGCAAGACGAAAGCATGATAATACGATAAAGTCACCATTTTGTTGTACTTTTGCTTTACGACAAAGTCACTAGTACTCACTACTTCATCATATTTTCGTGTTTTCGCCGCGGAAATCCGACTTGGCACAAATCAGCACACCATACTTCATGGTTTATTTTTTAGATCATTTTAGAACGACCTTCAGTTAATCGGCAGCAAAATAAAACAATTATCTGAACTTCACAAGAGAACTGTATTAAGATTAAGATATCTCTGTAGTATTTTTAATGGAACCTTTTTTCAATAACTACATCTTTTGTAAACGGTTTTGGTCTGTTTTTCTATTCTTTGTATCTTCATAAAACGCGTTCAATACATGTACGTTTAACAGTAAAAAGAGACAGTATCATGTTTAGATATTTCAAATACACCCACACGCCTAATATTTCTCATATATTCAATGCAGAGCTCAGATCATTTTTTGTGTTTTCATTTTCAAAAAACCTACGCCATCAGCGTTATTGTTGTATTTTCTGATCTCAGATCAGGAAATACAATGCTGACATTCAATCTCTGGCACAGAATTTCACGACAAACCTAACAACAAGTAGTTCTCCAAACAGCTTAAAATTAGCGATGTAAAAGAAAGAAATATTTTTATTTTGTTTCAAGTATACAACAAATTACAACGCATTCAAAGTTTAAAAGTAGTGTTGGCTTATAGAATTGTCAATAAATGCACAATCACAAATTACGCGGATGAAAATCATTTTAAGCGATGTCGATTACCGAATACTTCAGAGCGTTGTACACAAATTAATCTGACTGTCGAGTGTGGAAATATTTAAACATTGGGACTTTTTTTGGCGAAAAGTTTTTTCGCTAAATTATTTACTTCAGTTTAAAAAACAGTTTTATTTGAACAAAATCCTCGAAATTTAAAAAAGGGTTTACAAACCGAAAGGAAAATTTCAAAATTTTTAGAATTTTTGATTTTATTCAGGCTATCTTCGTATAACTTCCCCGTGGTGCAGGGATAACGCGCTCGTTTAGGGTGTGAGAGGTCTGGGGTTCGTATCCCAATTGAGGCAACTATTTTTTAAGTGTCTTTTTTAAGAAAGTAGCTACGGTATGCAAGGATAAAGTATGACTGTCATAAAAAAATAAAGATAAATGATTTGTGATGCAACTCTAGTCATGCAAAATTCCGTATGTATCAAACTCAAACTGTTATAGTAAAAAATCTAAACGCAGTCGCTGAATCTCGGTGCCCTGTAAGATGAATTATAGTGTATATAAAAAAAACTTATACAGGCAAATACATATAGATACGATTTAGATTGAAAAGATCAGAAAATACCACAGAGCTTGCAGCCCTTTGATTTTTATATATGCCACATCCAGGTCCACTAACATCGATAAACAAAATTGTGTTTTTTACATTTTTGCGCTAAAATTGTCTGGGCTTATCAAAAACTCAACGTAATTAGTGCTTTGATATGTGCTAAAGATCACCAGTTACAATATCATCATAGTAAATAAAGTTTTTCTGAATAATTAAAAAGGGCATCCGTCCATTAACTACTAAATGAATGCTATTATAAAATATCTTTATGTACGAATTGAATATGATGTTTTTTATTTGTTAATTTGTTTTAACAACGCCTGCTTTCATTTACTAAGGGCCAGTTCACGATGACTGTGCATGCGGGCCAGATGCTGGAAGAAATGTAACGTCACAACAGACCGTCGTCAGCATCCCAGATTGGTGCTGCAGTCCGTCTGGTGCAAACTGCAGTTGGTACAAGGAATGCCTTGAGGTAAATATACATGAAGTGGGAACAACGTATTAGTTAAAATTGCAATATGTGAATACTACAAGCTACCAACATCACTTATAACACTCAGATAAAGTTAGGAACGATTCTGCAATTAAGTAGCATATTCAATCTTTCCATATAATCAAATAATAATTATCACCCAGCATATTATCTCTTTCATACATATGTACGAGTAGATGTTTTGAATGAAATGTAAAATGTAGGTATACTGATATATCAATATGTAAATGAAAAGGAATGACAAATTGCAAGTCACAATCATTACAAATAAACTGGTTTGATATTCACTTTTGTCAGTTGTCAAGTTTTATATATATGCTCTGGTGGACATACTTAAAATCAAATCTACACAGTTAAATGATATCTGATTATGCATGTAAATATTATTTCCATGCTTTCATCAAATATTGCTACCACTGCCGTCATGTTAGAGGCGACAAACATGTACTTTTTCAAATGATAAATAAACTATTTATAAAAAGATTTGCTATATACCGGTAAAGTGTTTTGCTAGTAAACTCGTATTTTATCAGTATTGAGATTCGGCCTTTTTTATCAATAACACTGTCGAAAAGTTTTTAACTTATTCTTTTCCTCTCTTTATTTCATTTTTGAAGTTTGTTTCTTTTTTGAGAAGAAGGGAAACAAAAGAGAATTAACGACTGTTTGGCGTAAGTCATTATTTTCTGTCATAAACATGCCAATAGATTATTAACTCTGCTACCATTTCATCTAATTTTTTTTCGACAATTCATTTGAGCACTTAGATGAATTAGTTGACGGGTAGGTTAAATAAAAAATAATAATGAATTGTGAGATGATGCATTTGTTATTTGCTTTTTGCAGAAGCGTTATCCGTGCAAACAGCAAAACAATTCGTATGCCCTTGACTACGCCGAGAAATTTTGCAATTTGTACCAAGATCATTACCAGAAATTTAACACCATTGCTCAAGAATGGATCGATGCTGTACGGAAATGCCTACAAGTTAAGCTTGTACCCATCCTTAGACCATTTGTCATGGCAACATGCGAGAGCATCAAACAAACAGCCTTTGATTCTCACCCTTCCTGCTATCTTTACCCTGATTTTGGAAAGCCTTCTATCTGTGAGATTGGTTGCGATAACTGGGTTCGTATATTTTGGACTGTAAAAGGCGCGCTAATTCAAGACGCTATAGCTACCGTAAAACAAATGTGGGATGTTTATGAGGCATGTGATTGTGATGTACTATCACTTGGAATGGAGATGATACGGTTGGTATTTCGACATGTATGGGGAAAAATAGTGACAAACTTAAACAAAATGGCCCAAATTATTGCAAATCAAATATCAAGAATAAAAGGTTGGTACAAAAGAGGGGTACTCATTTTCGGGTTCCCAACTCCGGAAAGTCCAAATCGTAATAAACGTTCTGCTGACAATAACACTGATCTTTTTTACGTTAATCTTTTGATTGCTGCACAATCCGAATTCGACCTTAACGCGCCCAATATGCTCGCAACAAATGTGTCAGCGGAGGCGATAAGCGTAGCTAAAGCCATTGAAAACGGCGAGATTCGTTTAGATATTGAAGAAGGGATCGAGTTTACAGGACTTAGTATTTGCATCGACTACAACTGTACAGAAACATCTCTACAAGTTACACCAGCACAACAAGCACAACAAGAGAAACAAGACAAAGGAGGAGTAAATCGTACGACCATCATCGTTGTAGTATGTGCAGTAACATTTGGAATGATTCTAGTAGTTTCGGGAGTTGTTATACTGAAGAAGGTGCGCCGTTCCTAACCCGCTCCCAAAGACGTATACATGCATGTGCTGTTGTACTTCAACCAATGTTTTCGTTTGCTTTAAGAACAAAAATATTCATACAACGCGTAATAATATATAATAATATATATTTACAAGCACACAGTTTCATCCTTTTGTGTGAGTGGTTTGTTTTTGTTTGTTTGTTGCTATTGTTTTTGTTTTTTGTGTTTTTTTGTTGTTGTTTTTTGTGTGTCTTTTTTGTTGTTTTTTTTCTACGCGTACTATGATATGTAGTTTGATTTAAGTGATGACGGTGACAGTAAAGGTCAATTACCTTTTATATTCTGTGTATGTCTGTGACATTAATCTTTTTTTAAGTTTATGTTATATGAATGAATATTTGATAAAGTTATCATGTCTTTGTCCTTTATTTGTTAGTGTTTGATTTACAAGATGTGTAGACAATATATTGTATCTAGATTGGTAAAATAGTTGACATGTGCATCAGAAAAGTCGAAAATCAAGTTATATGAAAATGTGTCAGTGCGCAGTGTATGTGGAGCTTTCAAAATTTTCAGCAACAAAACTATCTTTTAAAACCAGAATTTGTTGGGTTTAATGATAACCAAAAAATTGATTATTTCCTAAGTATCATCAACATGGGGGAGGAACTGTTACACAGGGGATAGAGTTCTTCTTAATACTGTTACGGAATTCGTCGGAAAACTTGTGTATAAACCGAGACACACTCGTCAAAAATGGTATTTTTTATCTTTAAAACGATAGTTTGAGGTGCTAAATTATACTATGATGATTAAGCTTGTCTAACATATAGAAGATATTAAATGAGTGTAGTTTAATACTAAATTTATTAAACGAGTTGAATAAAATCATATTATGTGAGCCTCTAGGTACCGTCTTCATACACATATATTTTTTAATATTGTTCTGTAAATGGTTTAAAAAGAAAGATAAGTACATACATCTAAATATAAAACTAAAGGATACATTTAAAGTTTGAATCACTTTAATGAAAGTCATTATATATACATTATTCATTTCAATTATCTACTTGAACGAATAATTACTATCTTATTGTCTTTCTAATTTCATCCTGACTGATCGATATAAGACAAATTCATATCATTTTTCAAGTAGTTTTGGCCACTTCAAATATGGAAATAATACATTCCACATCCTAGTATGAAATTTCAACAATTATCGGACGTACAATGGACCAAAGAGATAACTTTCATTGATATATATCTTCTAGTACTTCAATATTTTAGATATTCACACAGAGGAGACGTTAAATATTGAGTACGGCTTTTTCGAAAAATTTTCAACTAAAACATGAGTCAAGGTAACATTTTTACTTTTTTAACAAAATATTTTTTATTATTATCTGGTTCTTTTTTCTTTGTCTTCACTATTTAATCGATCTACAGCATTATAACACCTTCGATCCAATATTGCAGTTCCATAAAAGTGGTAATCTAGAGATTTGTGATAGCGCATATATCGGACAAACCAACATGTTTTATATTTCATTGGAAGTTATGTGTTATGTATTATGTATAGTTTAAATAATAGAGAATCACAAAAAAATCCACCAGTAACATCAAAAGCAAGCAATATGTAATGTATAATAGCCATTTGTATTGTAAACAACACTGAGCAGAGCGAACGACCTCTTTTGCTATTTGATCAAAGTCATTGTAACAGGTCCGAACCATTAGACAGACTTGATCAAATTTGTCAACGTTTTACAAAGGTTTATATTTATCATTTGGGAGTATGTTCAGACTTTTGATCGTTATTTATACAGAATATGGGCAGGGTGAAGATGTGGCTCCGACCAACACAGAGCCTTCAACTGCGCTATCGTTTCGTCCGACTGTTCACCATTCTACGAGTGTTCCCGAATCCGTAACATCTTGGCAGGAGTCCACATTTGAAAGCTCTTACCAGGAGTCAGGGAAGGGAAATGATAAATCACCAAGCGCAGTTACCTTTGCCAAAGATGATAACTCTAAAGATAACTTTCAAAAGATGAAGAACAGGAAACTTGGCGAACTATTTGCTAGCACTGAAATGCTGTTTAATAGTGGAAGAGAAGAAAATAAAAGAATGAAAGCTGTCTTTGGGGTGTTTTCGGGTGTGGCTGTCGGAAGTCTGATATTCGTATTGTTATACTGTAATTTTGAATACAGTGGTATTGTTGCAGGAACCGTCGCATCTGTCAGTACTATTTTCATTTGTATTGGGCTAGCTTTCTTTCCGACCTGTAGATGTATCATGGCTCTAGTTTTTCCAAACTTTACAACTGGAAAAGGACGAACACTACTTCTTTCGGTTATTTTTGCTGGTATGTTAACTGGGCCGATTCTAAACATTACACACAATGGTAAAGAAATCGGAAACAGCATGGCATGTGTGATTGACCTAATTGCCAATCAATCAAGAATATTATTACAGCAGTCAAAAGAGCCTATAAGAGATGTTGCCAAATATATAGAGCAACAAAGACAGTCACTAGAAAACATCCAGAACAGCATGTTTGTTGACTTTAAGGAATTGAGAGACGCCATTGATGCACTGGAGAATGACTTTAATGTCGTGGATACAAGTATGAACAAAATCTATGAGGTAATTTGTTTTCCCTGGTGTTTCTTTCCTAGTGCAGAAAATTGAATCAATACATATTCCACATGTGGAATTGATTACGGAAAGTTGCCAAACATGTTATGGTGAAAATTGAGAATTATAAATGTACCTTAACCTTTTACCCCATGAGCATATTGCGAAAAATGGCCGTTTTCATTGAAAAGCCTCCTGTTACAAGTTCCAACTGCTATAAAACTATGAAAAATGCTTCAATACTGATGAAACTTGGCACATATGTTGAATGAACCTTTACCTCTGTAACAACATGCTCAATCTTACATTTTCTGTTACCATGGCAATGGGGGGACGTCTCAAAATTGCGAAAAATCACTATTTTGCATTGTTTTTTTTCCATCAAAACTGATTGCAAAGTGCTGCAACTTCTCAATGCAATGAGAGAGTAAAAGGCTTTTCAGTGTTGGTTACACGTAACCTTAAGATCGCCATGAGGCCATTTTTAGCCTGTCACATGTCCAAAATTTTCTTGGCGATGAGGGGGACTACCGACCCCCTTCAAACCCAACAAACAGAAGGGGGCACATCCACCTTCTGGCAACCCCCTGATGTATCATTTTGATTGGGGCTGCACTGTTTGAGGCCTCAAAAAGAGTGGGGGGAAGCCATCAAAACACGCTTATATGAGGGAAAAGGTTATAATATCTTAATTTATTTTAAACCATATTTATGAAAACAGATTATTTTCAGAAAAAAAAATGTTTTGTTAGATGTGTCTGTCATTCTGCATAAATAGTACTGCAAACCTAACCAGAACAACAATATGGTATATAGAATGGTAATTTAATGTATTTTAGTATAATGTGTAAAAAAGAGAATTGGTTATTTGATATTCCTCGGGTTATCTCTCAATATTTTATATTAGTATCTATATTATACGGAAGCGTCCTGGTGCTAATTCATAATGTTCTGTAAAAAATAAACTCCTACGTAGGAGATAAAAAAGTCTAATTAGGAGTTTAAAACTCCTACGTAGGACTTTATAATTCCTACGTAGGACTTTATAATTCCTACGTAGGACTTTATAATTCCTACGTAGGACTTTATAACGTAGGACTTTGTAACTCCTACGTAGGACTTTTAAATTCCTACGTAGGACTTTATAACTCCTACGTAGGACTTTATAACTCCTACGTAGGACTTTGTAACTCCTACGTAGGACTTTATAACTCCTACGTAGGAGATAAAAAAGCCTAATTAGGAGTTTATATCTCCTACGTAGGACTTTTAAACTTCTACGTAGGACTTTATAACTCCTACGTAGGACTTTATAAGTCCTACGAAGGACTTTGTTACTCCTACGTAGGACTGTATAACTCCTACGTAGGAGATTAAAAAGCCTAATTAGGACTTTATAACTCCTACGTAGGACTTAATAACTCCTCCTTAGGATACATATCAAAGTACTGAAAGCACAGAGTTCAACGGACATGTATGCTAGAGTATAACTTAAGATAGCATATTATGTAGGAAAATAAATTACATGTGTCAAGTTGTAATTGTGGCAAGCCGCTTTAGTAAATACCCTTAGTCTGTAGCCAGAGATGATTTTGTCATTCTCTTCTAATATTAAACGATGATTCTGTATTATGTACGTTGAGTTATATTGATTATTCATTTGTACACAAAATGTATGGGTCAAAGTAGGATATAATTCATTATGAAATATTAAACATATGCATGCATAATGCTCCGCAAACCGTTTTCTTCTTAAGGAACAAGACACTTCACTACTCCCCCTGCCACCTATAAGGATTTAATCATTTGAAACGGCCGAAAATGGATACATTGCTCGTTTTGTTCAGCTAATTCGTATGGAAAAAGTAATCGTTAAAGCCTTTTAAAATTTTGATATATACATATTTTAGAAATGCTTGTTGTCGAGTAAGTTTTTCGAATAGCTGTAAAGATATTTTCCGGGATACATCGCCAATGCTTACAGACACCTCACCCTAAGGCACTGTGCTCTCTAGAAACCTGAGACACTTTATTAAAAGGTGAAGTGTGGCGGCACCGCCGTGTGACTAGTAACCTAATGATCGCTAGCCGCATGGGTTCAAACACCGTTAGGCGCAAGCCGTTGTTTCCTTGAGCAAGAAACTTTACACTCATTGCTCAGTACGTACTTGTTGGTTCCAAGAACGGATTCGAAAGTGTATCTATAAGCTTATAGCTTCCTACACAATCAAACTGAAATAAATTCTGTATAAACCAAAGGTGAAGTTCCTCTATATTTAGGGGTGGTTTAAGTGTCTTGCTCCATCGCCGATATACCGGTCCGGAATGTTGAGATTTTGCAAAGCATTCTGTATGCATTTCTTATAAAGTCATAAAGTCCTACGTAGGAGATACAAACTCCTAATTAGGATTTTTTTATCTCTTACGTAGGAGTTATAAAGTCCTACGTAGGAGTTAAAAAGTCCTACGTAGGAGTTTAAAAGTCCTACGTAGGAGTTATAAACTCCTAATTAGGCTTTTTTATCTCCTACGTAGGATTTATAAAGTCCTAGGTAGGACTTATAAAGTCCTACGTAGGACTTATAAAATCCTACGTAGGAGTTATAAAAAACCTACGTAGGACTTTATAAGTCCTACGTAGGAGTTACAAACTCCTAATTAGGCTTTTTAATCTCCTACGTAGGAGTTATAAAGTCCTACGTAGGACTTATAAAAACCTACGTAGGACTTTATAAGTCCTACGTAGGAGTTACAAACTCCTAATTAGGCTTTTATTCTCTCTTACGTAGGAGTTTATTTTTTTATAGAACATTATGAATTAGCACCAGGACGCTTCCGTAATATTATGTACAAAATGATATGGAAGAAAAGCAAGTATATAATGTTAACGGTGAAAAATTGTATTCTTTATACTTTAAACACACGTGTATTTTTTTAACTTTCAGGAATGCACCAGCCCACTAAAGACAGCTAATGAAAAATGTATAAAACAGTGTAACATACTGATACTTCCTAATCCAAAGTATAAACATTTGACTTATGTTATACAAACTTGACAATTTATCCATATAAATAATATCTTTCACAAAATTCCCTTCGCATCCGATCAAAATAATCATGACTTCTAAATACGATGCATTCCTTCTATGTTATCGTTTTATTATTTTTCTTTTCTTTACTTTTGTTTTGTAAGAAATATACGTCAATTATAGTAAGGCCCATTACAGTAATGCATTTGTTTATTACTCAAAAAGCTTTTTATTTTGTATATCCTGCGCTAATCTTTAAAACGTTATCCACTGTCAATAACCTGAACCATCTTATGTCCAAGTTGCATTTTGGAAAATAGTTAAAATAGTTAAGTTACAGTGAGTATTTTTGGAAGTTAAAATACTATTTTGTTTATGTTTATTCTACTTTTATTACAAATACTTTCACATTCTACCCTACTTTTGCATGTGTTAAGCTTTTAACTATTTAACTATTATTTGAACGTTAAAAAAACTCATGTTTGCCCTTATACAGAAAGGGAAAAAGTTCTCGTTTCTGAGGCATAATGTCCCTAAAACTATGAGTGTTATTCCTCATCATCATCATTTCTTCATCTTAATCATATTATATAATATTATCATCATTGCCAACATCATTTTATCATTATCATCAACAACATCATCACCATTTTATATACTGCTTTTCTAATCTATGCGTGCTACAGGGATAACGTCTCTTTTGTTTACTCTTCAGAGCGGAATGCCTAACTTGGTGCAGGACGCTAACTGATATATGCTCTCCATTAAAGATAAGTGACAACTTTGCTGGTGTTACAAAAGATATGAAGTAAGTAAATCAATAAATTATGTGTGGTAATGAAATCTGTTTATTATATGTACGTTGTAGTATTTGGATACAGATAACCATTCTCTTGTACTAATAATTGTCGAAGATAATGAATACTTTATAATTTATTCAGTTAATTTTGAGCATTTTCAAGCAAATACATGTTTAGTTAATGTAATACATGCATTACTTTCTAGTGTCACAAGAGTGTATGAATAAAAAGAAGTTCGTATGAAAAAATTAACAGCGTGTCATTCGATTTCCTATAAGTATTGTATATTAGCATTTTAGTTGACCATTTATAGAGATACTACGAAACACGTCAAACGTTTGGTTTTCTCATCTTATCCCACGGTACAAACAAACATTTGCAGTTACAGACTAGTACATATATCGATGATAACCGCATTTCTGGTATGAACGGTAGTGCACTGCGAGGCCTTAACGATAATTGTTTGTTTGTACCCCGGCATTATACGGGAATACCAAAATTTGCCGGGTTCCTGAAAACATTTGTTCTGGGTGCAGGAAATATTTGGAAATACCAATATACAAGGCGTTTTATTCTTTTGTATAATTTGATAACTGTTAGATATCCAAATACATGTTACCATGAGGACATCGTTGAAAGGACTAAATTGTGAGAACGGTTGTCATCTAATGATTTATATTATACAAAAGAAGCAGGCGCTTAGTCTTGTATCATAAATATTAAAATCATCTTCTAAAATTTAAATCAATAAAGAGTGAAAAATCAGAGCTTTGTTTTGTGTTTTAGAGACATTATTGGCCAAGCAGAAAAGTATTTTAGCCCTGGAGTTAAAGTAGATGGTAATTTTGAAGACAATGGAAATAACTCGGGAGAAATCAGTATGGTACAACGACGAATAGATGAGAAGACTGAGTCAAGCGTTCTTACAATAAAAACTATCATTACGACAATGAAGTATGTGCTGTCGTTGTCTTTGCTTTTAATGTTTATCCAAGCGTTCTTATACTTCAAAAATTATATGGCGAAAGACGGGTATGACAATATATACATAACAAAAGAATTTATTGAACTTGACAAGAAAAAGGAGGAAAATGGCGAGGAATCTTTATTGCCTATCAAGAAAATAGAGAAATCAGAATACATTCATACTAGGTCATTAAAACTAACAAAGCAAGAGCTTGACAGTTGTAAAACTGGTCTCGCTCATGTTTTTATACATGCGTTTATTTGTTTTGTCGTGGTTTTGTTCGATTTCTTTCTCTATTATATCTTAAATCTCATCCAGACGTTTGGTAAAGTTGAAATAGACCTGAATGATAAACGCCGGTTGACCGTTGACGTTGAGGGAAAAGGTTTCATTGCCAGCTTTTATAAGGAAATTTTTAAAGGCATAAACATTGATGATGTATTCCATGTACATGTTAACCTAGACAAATGTTTACCAAACCCAACATCTACATCTGGAGACACTGTTGTTGGCTTTTTCCTTCTCTATCTACTGGCATTGTGCTTCGTGATGTTTCATGGTTATGGAATGCGCATGCGCCGGAAAATTGCCGCATACTTCTTTCCAGAACAAGAGGCTTCGCGAATGGAATATTTGCACAAGACTATTCGTCATAAACGTATCGCACGTCAAAGATTTCTCCGTCAAGAAGTAAGGTCAGCTCACAAAGAAAGTTTTATGAAGAAAGGATTTCGGCTTTCTACGTGGCTCATAACCAATTGCAAATGTATTGCCAAACTTGTTCCATCGAGAGAGCAGTTAGAGTGCAGCAGCTGTGAGGAGACAAAGGGAACATTTGACTCAGTAAAACTGACGAAATGTACTGGGGTAAGGGATGATGTTGCCTGTACAGCTGTCTATTGTGACGACTGCAGAGTGATTCTTGGCGGAGTTTGTCCTTTATGTTACCAAGAGGAAAATATGATAAACAAGATCAACAAGGAAAGGCGGCGTTCAATGAACGCAACCCCCACATGACCCAGCAACAAGAACCAATGGCAAGGAGCCCAGGGGGACCCCAAACAAAAACAGGACAGGGCAAAGACAGAGCACGGACAGGTTAATCATTAAATGATAATTAATTTGTAACTGATTAGGAATTTAAAGAAAAATAAAAATAGAAGTCGAACTAAGAGACTAGTCTATTACATATATATCAAATATTGTTGCATCGAAATATATATACTATTGCTTTCTTCGAGGAATTATATCTTTCAAACTGTAGTCCTGTCAAAAATTCTGCTCTATACATACATGTATATGTTTACAATAATCAGAGGTGTATCAAATGTCATGTGCTGATGGTAGTTAACATGGCGCCATTGCAACGTTTTGTGTCTTGACGTAATGTTAAGTGGAATGGATTTTGACTTAACGGTGAAATGAAGGGCTTGTTTTTCTGTTATTTGAATACTGTATGTCACAGTAATATCCATGACAGTCTATTTTCGATTTTAAAAAGCATCACTTTACATGGTCTACTGCATGATACCATATTATCAGTATTTAATTATTATGCTTATCTATATTTTATATATATACCTTTATTAATTTTTCATTCGATTTATTTATATCAACAAATAAAACATTTGTTAAAATTAGTTCCTGGAAAAACTCGATGGAAATTCAATATCACACAACTACATTCAAATTAAATACATTTAATTTTGACTAGCCTCAGGGGAGGACCCAAGATGTTGTTAGAACTTTTGGCTCAACCCTTTTGTATATACATTTGATGATTGTATATTGTGTGTATACATGTATCTACGCAGTTGTAAGACGCAGTTTTGGTCATGAATATTTTGACAAAAAGTTATAACCTCGTCTTATAAGTACAGCCTACTGAGTGGTGAATGAAGAAATTATGCACCTGATGAATTTTTAGATTGAAGCTGGTCATTCCCAGTCACCAGCAATCACTAACCATCTACGCTCGGTGATGAATAATTCCAAGTTGAATGTCTTAATACCATGTGTACGGTGGAAATCAATGCATTGTGTATTTTTAGTGTTACATACATGAAAAATATAGTAAAACTAATAAAAGTTTGTACTTATGATAAAAACTTTTACTAAAATTTTTGTGGCTTAAAGTTTTCAAAAATGACTATGTCCCTTCTTTAAAATGGAGGAAAAATGTACCTACCTGCCCCTACGATCGCGATCTGAGCCTCAAGCTATGTCCACTTATTCAATTATGAAACACAATTAATGAGAACAAACCTATACAATTATCGTTTGTTAGGTCGTCATATCTGTTGAATAACAAAGATGCTATTTACAGATTTTCGGAAAATGAACCTCATAACACCTGGAAAGGTCACGTCGACCACAGCTGGTATTGATTTTTTGAAGAGTAATTACAGATATACGATGATAACTTGAGCTTTAATTTTCATAAAAAATATTTAATGGATAATGATTAAGTATGAAAGATTAATAAATATAATTAAAAAAATCTTAGTAACAAAAAATGCCATTATAAAATAAAGTATCAGAGAAAGTATGCAATGGTCACAGACTCCGTAACAAACAAATGCAACTTAAAATTGTTTGCCATTTTGTCGTATAACCTGTAGTTTCATGTAGGAAAATTAGGTCACATCAGCGAGATTTGATTTTCACAAAAACTTTCTGGTTCATCCAGTTCATTGTCTGGGTCATTTAATTTATTGTCTTTGGTACAAAATTAATGTTAAAAAAATGAGTAATTTGTTTGAACAAAGTTTCAAAATGGATAATAAAAAATTGAATCCTGCTTTACGATTTATACTTCAGTTTCTGTATCATTTCTAAAGAGAATTTATATATAAAAGGTAAATATGAATATCTTTTTATTGTGCTTTTTACGAAACATTTGTATGTTTTAAGCAAATTACTCCCAATCAAAAATATTTTGCCACTCGTTCACACATTGATAAACAATCTAGCGTAAATTGCTGACAGAACAGAAAAGAACAGAACGTTTTTTATTCACCCAGGTACAAGAAGATATCATATCGTACAACATGGGGTTATTACGAAATTTACATTAACACAAAATAATACAGTATCCGGTCAATGAGTATTACAATGATACAAAATCATAAGAAAAATAGAAAGAGAGAAGAAAAAAATGAAATATAAGTTTTGAAAAATTGATTGCTATTTAGAGACATGTGGGTGGCTGGAGACGGGGGAATGCTAACTTTATATCAACATTAAATAAATACTGATGTCACTAGGTTAATTATTATTTTATTTTTTTATTTAGTTTTTAAATATTTACTATCATAAATCGGAGAAAACACGCTATTTATGAATGAAATTCCACATAACTGTCTATTGGGTTACTACTAGAATACGATTGGCTGTTAGTAAAGATTTCAGAGTTTGCCATTGGATAACTAACTGGAGCAAAGCTAAAAATAAAAATAATTGTTCCGTACAGAATAAGGGCATGTAAACGTTACAGAAGTGTTATTACATGTTAATTTATCGTATAGTTAAGGTGAATTGGACTTAATTGACATTGTCTGGTAAGTGCATACGTTCATTTTTGGTTACATAAGAGTATAATTGGTTGTAACCTTTGTAGTTCACAAAATAATACATATAAAATGACATTACTTTTCATAATTAATATTATGTGCAAAGATAGCAAAAATAAATATAAAGTAAAGATATATAAAAAGAGGTAAGAAGAGAGGCATTGGTATCTTATCACTTGTAGGGGTCTATCAGAATTTTTTTTTAAGTCGTATGAAGCCACATACTTTCGAAAGTATCCTTCCGGAAGTTGATGTTAATAGAAGCTTAAAACCATAATCGGATACGGTATTTTCATGAAAGTTGATTTGTCTGAAGAGGGTTCTTCTTTCATTTTGAAAACGGTCACAGTTTAACAAATAATGTCGTTCCGAACCTATTTCATTACGGGTACATAAATTACATTTTCTTTCTTGAAGTAAGGTTCCATCCCATTTGTCCGTTTCAATTGGGAGCCTGTGATTTGCAGTTCGATATTTAAATAAAGTGTTACAATCGCGCATTGGTAAAAGCTGGAAATAGTTTTCGAAATCTGGGCTTTCTTTAAAGTTACTGTAAATGATGCCTTTATTAGGCAACTGAATTTATGCATGCCATGTTTGTCTAAATTGATCTATAAGAGTTTGTTTTACTGATCTATGTATATATTTTTCAGTTATGTTATGTTGATTTTGCCAAAGATCTGGTCTCCCTACCCCATTTAGAATACTTTTTATTTTGCTAATCCATTTAAATTCATTATTAGTTTGATTAAGAACGTAGTTATATACTTGATAAGTCAATTTATGGTCTTTTCCTATAATAAGCCTATTCGAAAAAGAGATCATACGATGCTTAGGTAAGCTGTTCACCTCAATATTAAACACAAGATTGACGCGCTTCTTAGAAGAAAGTGGCATTCTCAATCAAGCAGGTTTCCGTAAGGGTTATTCTTGTAGTGACCATATTTTAACTTTACATTTGTTAACTGATCTTCTCAAAAAAAAGAAAGAAAAAACTTTATTGTGCCTTTGGTTTTTGTTTCTTTGATTGACCCCCCCCCCCCTTCCCCCGGTCTCCTGTCCCCTTCCCCTTTGTGGGCCTATTATTATTTTCTTTGAATTCCTAATCAGTTACAAATTATTTATCATTTAATGATTAACCTGTCCGTGCTCTGTCTTTGCCCTGTCCTGTTTTTGTTTGGGGCCCGCCTGGGCTCCTTACCATTGGTTCTTGTTGCTGGATCATATGGGGGTTGCGTTCGTTGAACGCCGCCTTTCCTTGTTGATCTTGTTTATCATATTTTGTGGATTTTTCACAGACCTTCGATAAAGTGTGGAGAGTAGGCCTCTGGCACAAACTGTTAAATAATTTTATTAATGGAAAGTTCCATGCATGACAAAGTGACAGTCCGGACATGAATGTGTATCTTCAAACTCTTCTCGAGAGAATGAGTACCTTCAAACTATAAGTGTGACCTTGACCTTGAAGGTAGAGACATGTCGTCTTGATGTGGTAGACATTTATGCCTAATTATTTTAAAATCCTTCGATGCATGACAGAGTAACAGCCCGGACACGAATGTGTGTACCTATAAACTCTAATTGTGATGCTGTGAAAGTTCAAAATGTTAGTGTGACCTTGACCTTTGAGGTAGAGACGTAATTCTTGGACGCGACACATCGTGATAATGATAAATCGCAATGACTCGGCCCTTTCCGTCAGTCTTCGGATAAGGACCCCATCGGATTGAAAGTAGTTCTACCACGTGGTTTCAGATGTAAACAGAAACAGAGATAATGTAAAACGAATGTGCGGAACTAAATAAAATGGAATTTTGAAAGGGGATCTGAGGTTATGAAGCCTGCATATCACAGTAATAACGCCAAAAGACAAATTTAACAAGCAATTATCATAGTATTGCAAGCAATCCATAAGTCCCCTACCGGTTAGAACCCCATCAACATTCTGAAGGGCCATTGGCCATTCACTAATGTTTCAATTTTTTTTCTATTTTAAGTAAATTTGTTGGAAAAGTTCTTTAAAAGTGATCACAGGAAACAGTTTTTATGAACAGACAGACAGACGGACTGAAGGACACTCTAAAGTTAATATTTGAAACATCCATGTTACTAAAATATAACATTTTTAAAAGCAAAATTCTTAAAGAGGAGATAACTCTTGAATTAAAGATGCAATTTCATAAATAAAAAATTTTCAGCTCTTTTTGACTTATCACAAATATTTTTATATTTGCCATGTTTTAACCTATTTTTTGCCAAGGCAACCAATATTTTTTCAAAATAGGAAGAAAATAAGACATGCATAATCTCCAGACTGCCATCTACCCATATGTCAAGTTTCATAAAAATATTTCCAGTACTTTTTGAGTTATCATTGGATTCAGT